CACACACACACACACACACACACAGCCTCTTCCCAATATGCGTTTTTATGCGTTTTTGCTGTGCAGTATGCACTCGCTTCCGAACACACACACACACACACACACACACACACACACACACAGATAACCTCCCGACAATATGCGTTTTTGCTGGCTGTAGCAGCGTTTTTGCTGGCTGTGGCTGCTACAGCCAGCAAAAACGCGTATTGTCGGGAGGTTGTCTGTGTGTGTGTGTGTGTGTTCGGAAGCGAGTGCATTTTGTCACCCATTTTCATCTCAGCACCCAAAAGCTGGGAGACTGAAACTTTGGATATATGTTCCCACCCCGTGTGCCATCCTCGCGTTTTAAGATCTTCCCCAACACGCATCTAGACCCCGCGTGCGGGACCTCCAAAGAAATATGTTGGCGGGAAACAATTTCGCGGACCAGGCAAGGTGGAAAGCTGAAACTTTGCAAGGATATTCTCTATGTACGTGCGAGCTAACGATTTTAAACTCAGCTGTCGAGCCTCCAACTACAGCTTCAGGCAGCTCCTCAACCCAAAAATCGCTCGCAACTCGGGCCTGAACATGTAAATTAACATGGATTTTTTGACAAATGGCCGCTCGAGCAACAATTCCAGTTTTTCATGAACTGGAAATTTGCATTTTTTCAAAAAATTTGCGTTTGTCATTTTTTCACAATGCGAGCATTTACCGAAAAAACGACCGGACTTCATGCAAACGTAGGCTGGAACGCACCAGGCGGGCCGGTGGAATTATGCATTTTTGCACTTTTCATGCCGTAGCAAGGTCGCAAGGAATCAAAATAGCTAACCCTGTGAAATACTGGCCCTCGAAGTTTGGGAAGTTAATTGTGCAACTATGTGGTTTGTCAGCTCTAGGTGTCGACTTCAGTGACTCGACAAATGGTAAGTTGCTGATCCGCAAAAAAAGGCCACACAAGAAGGGTTAAGTTTAAAGCCTTTTAGTTGCACATGAGCAGGAAACATTCCGTTAAAATTAAAGCCTTCAGCTTTTTTCCGTTTCTGAGCTAGCAGTTTTCCCATCAAAATTTTCACCTTCAGTACATGAGTACTGGATGGTTTTAAGGAGCTGAATTTAAAAACTTTTGGTCATACATGAGTAGGGAACATTACCCTAAAGTTTCAGCTTTCTAGTTTTTCCCGTTCTCGGGTTAATGATTTTCGCGCCAAAATTTTCATGTGCCCGTACGTGAGCCCCTGGCGGTCCTAAGGAGCTGAATTTGAAATCTTCTTGTCGTACACGGCTAGGGAACATTCCCCCAAGGTTTCAGCTTTTTAGCTTTTCTCGTCCCCGAGTTAGCGATTTTCGCGCCAAAACTTTCACGTGCTCGCACGCGGGACCCAGACTTGCGTGGGGGTTGAAACCGTGGTCCTGGGGTAGTACCTGACTGGGGAACACACTAGCAAAATTTCAGTTTCAAAGCTTGCATGATTAGCGAGTTGAAATACCCGGACAGACGAACACACACACACACACACACGCACACACACACAACACACACACACACGCAGGGTCGTTGCAATACGCCTTTTTGCCGCCTGTTGCAGCGCTCTAGCGCTGCACGGTAAAAACGCATAAAACCGGTAATCATGCACCTGGATGTCTGTGCGGCTCTATAATGCACCTCTTTCATCCCAACTGACGCCCTTCTTCCTGCATGCCGGAAAGGATCAAAGCACGCCAATATGACTCAAGTGATAGGCTACAGCGTAGGGATCTTTCCTTCTAATAGCGATCAGCGAGTTTAGTGCAAAAACGCATGATCGCAGCGGAGAGCCTGGTGCGTTCCAGCATGGGTTGCAATTTGCATATATG